TGTGTGTGTGTGTGTGAGAGAGAGAGAGAGAGAGAGAGAGAGAGAGAGAGAGAGAGAGAGAGAGAGAGAGAAAGTGAAGCCATTATTTTAATAAGCATTTTCTCTAGTAGGCCTAGAATAATTGTGAACCTTGTATTCAGGACTCAGGCTGACATAAACATTGTGTGTGTGTGTGTGTGTGTGTGTGTGTGTGTGTGTGTGTGTAATTTACAGGCTTACATATCTACATGCACTTTTGAAAATGAATACCAAAATCATTTTTTTACATACAGGTAAATTCAGCTCCAAGAGTGTTCCTTAATTTTTAATTTTATGTCATGATTTTATCACATTAATTGCTAATGATATTTATCCAAAATATCTGCTTAATAAAAACATTTTCTAGTACTAAAAAATCTGTGTATAAATGCAAAAAGAGACCATAGAAAAGTTTTCAATCATTCAGAATATCATTTTAGTTTTTAGTACACATAGAAAATTTTAATCAAGAAAATCTTCAAATGATTTCAAAACAGCGGAAAACTTTAATTCCATAGTTATTATTACTCTGAAAAGAAAAGGCTGTTTTCTTTCTTGAAAGCAAATATAAAGTAACAGGAAGAACTGCTGGGTCAGTAAGCTGTTGATTTAGTTTTCTTCTTGTTTCCATTATTGGCAAGTATCTGATGAAACCTATCCATAAAGAAAATACACATAAATTGCAAAATTCATTTTAAAAAGCTCAATTCTTGTTATCAAACTTAACCCCCTCCAGTTTTTTTCCCCTTCAATTTCTCTCTCAGGTCACCTCTGTTAACAGAATCATTTTATTTCATGTGGTCTCTCCATCTGCCACCCCATCACAAATATGATTTTTTTTATGAATCACTGTATACAGTTTCTTTTTTCTATTATTTAATTTAAATTAGAAACAAGATTGTTTTACATGTCAATCCCAGTTCCCTCACCCTCCCCTCCTCTGCTGCCCCCCCTCCACACCTCATACTAACACCCTCCCTATCTTATACCATTTCTGCTCCCTGGGGAGGGTGAGGCCTTCCATGAGGGACCTTCAAAGTCTGTCGTATCCTTTGGGATAGGGTCTAGGCCCTCCCCCGTTTGTCTTGACTCTGGGAGTATACATCTATGTGGAATGGACTCCCAAAGTCCATTCCTATGCTAGAGATAAGTACTGATCTACTACCAATAGATTTCCAGTGCCTCCTCACTGACACCCACATTCATGGGGTACAAATAAGATTTTTAAGGGTGACCCATAAAGTAGAAATAAAAATATGAGATGTGAATCATTGTTGAAGTGATTATTTGATACAACTGCCACAACAAAGCACCAGCTGTGTGGCTTAAACAGAAGGTTTTGGGTTTTTTGTTTTGTTTTGTTTTGTTTCTCAGTTTTAGGCTAGAAGGTCAAGATTAGAGAGCTGGTTCCTACTGAGGGCCAAGAGAGAATCTGCCCTCTGCCCCCCCTTGCCTTGTGGCTGCCTGTCCTCTTTCTGAGACTTCACATCAACTGTCACTCTGTATGACACCTTCCTTTGTATTTCTCCTTGTGTCTTAGTGTCCATTTTGTTTAAAGACATCGGATTGGATTAGGGTCCATTATGTTGGCTTTATTTTACCATAATTACCCATTTAAAGACCTTATCGCCAAGTATTTATACATTTACATAAGGAAAAGTGGGATTAAGACTTTAATATATAACTTTGAAGAAAACAAAATCCAGCTCATAGCCCTTGGGTTTAACAGAAAATTCAGGGACTGAAATGAATCAATACTTGCATCATGCCAGAAAGGATCTAGTCATTCACTAGTAAGTCTGTATTTCCAACACTTACGTGAATTGAAATGAGTTAGTCAATTGTGAAATAAATAACTAAATACTACTCAATCATATGAGACAGTTCCACTCTTTGTTTTGTTTGCCCATGTTCCCCAAATCCAAGTCAAAGCTTTGCAAGGCAAACTACCACTGAGCCCCCAGATCCAATTTCACTTACTGTTTTTTTTTTAAAAAAAAAAACAATATTTTGTATTTCCTTTCTTACTGTCATAGAACCAGGGAGTGATGAAACAGTATCTACCTACTAGAGTATACTGGACAGACAACTTCTACCCAAGCAGTAAAAATCACAATGACATTGTCCTTATCATTATAGTTAAATTTGATTTACAAGTATTTGACTGAGAAGTTTTACATCCATATTCATCAGGAAGATTGGCCTACAATGGGTTCTGTTTCTTTGTTTGAGATAAGGTCTTACCATTTAGCCTTGTCTGGCCTAGAACTCACTATGTGACTAGGATAGCCTCAAACTCATAAAGATCTACCTGCCTCTGCCTTCCAAGTGCAAGGATTAAAGGCGTGCGCCACCATACCTTGTCTACCCTATAGAATTTTCATTTTTTGTATTCTGGTTTGGGTATAGTGTAGTGCTGCTTTTGTAAATGGAATCTGCCAGGATGCCTTCCCTTTCTGATGTATGGAGTAATTAGAAGCATTGTGTTAGTTCTTCTTTACAAGTCTTGTAGAACTGAGCGGCAGATAGATTCATCTGGGCTTGGGATTTGTCAGAAGGGAAATTTATCATTGTACGTTATATGTCCCTTTAAGTTGTTTATAGCTTCTTCATTTAAGTTTAGTAGGTAATGTGTATCCAGACGTGAATTCATTTTCTTCTCTATTTTACAATTTATAAAACACAACATTTCTAAGTATGCCTTAGCAATCAACTGAACCCCATCGGTGGTTTGTAATCTCTCCCTTTCCATCTCTAATTTTATTAATCTGGGTCTTCTCTAGCTTAACTTTTTGTCCTGTTGACTAGGAACTTGTCAGTGTTATTCTTTCAAACAATCATCTTTGTATTTCCTCAATTTTTATATTGATCTTTCTATTTCCATTTCATTAATGTCTGCCCTTGCCTTTACTATTTCTTTATACATGATGAAACTTACTCTATTATAGAGTGAAATTATGTTGTCTATTTTAAAATGGGTCTGATTGAAGATTATAGTAAAATAATTCACATGCAAAAAGATAAGTGTGTTTTCATTCATTTGTGGGTTCAAGAATTCTTTAGTGATACATAAAATGGTGTGTGTGTGTGTGTGTGTGTGTGTGTGTGTGTAAAATGAAAAACAGAAGATGGAGGGGCAGAATGGTAAGAGATAAGCAGCAGTGGAGAGAGAGAGAACTAAAAGGAGGGACTGGTAAGAGGGTAAATTTGGTCAATGTATTTGACAGAAATAGCTATATGGAACTCAGCACTGTAAATTCGATATATGCCAATAAATATTAAAAGCAAAATAAATACTAAGCAGATATCAATGGTTTATGCCGTAAATCACAAAGAATCAATGAGATCTTTTTAAATTCTTTTAATTAAAATAAAAAATAAGCCAGGTGTTGGTGGCGCACACCTTTAATCACAGCACTCGGGAAGCAGAGGCAGGTGGACCTCTGTGAGTTTCAGACCAGCCTAGTCTACAAGAGCTAGTTCCAGGACAGCCTCCAAAGCCACAGAGAAACCCTGTCTTGAAAAAACCAAAAATAAATAAAAATAATAAAAAATAAAAAATAAACACCTGATTGTTTTCCACAGTGATTCAAAAAGTTATTAAAATGTAAATAAAGGGCTAGGTAGGTAACTCAGTCAAAAAGTGCTTGCCTAACAAGCACAAGGACCCAAGGTCAATACCTAGAAACCAGGTAAGCAGGAAAACATGGGGAGCTACTGGGAGACAGAAATGATTGGACCCTGTGACCTCCTTGGCCAGCCAGTCTAGCCTAACTGGTTAGCACCAGACCAATGAAAGGCCCTGTGTGAAAGAGGCACCCAAAGTCTACTTCAGGCCTCCTCGCATGTACCTATGTACCACCACACATACATTCACTTACACACACACATGTACACACACAGACACACACACACACACACACACACACACACACCACGATAAACTAGGTGAAAGAAGACAGCACAAACCCATAGCCTACAACTAGGGAGGATGTGCAATGGGGGACAGAAACTCAAACCCAGCTTGGAATACACAGAGAGTTTGAGATCCGCTTGAGCTACATAGACAAACAAACAGAAAGACACAGAGAGAAGATAAAGAAGCAAAGAGAGAGGAAGAAAGAACAGAGAAAATGAGAGGAGAGGGAGAGACTGAGAAGAGGGAGAAAAAAAGCATGTACAATTTAAATTTTTCCTCTAAAGCAAATTATATTTTAAATAGTGTATATTATTTATAGCTAAAGAAGTATTTCACATCATTAGCTATAAATTAAATCTCAATGTATTATATCATATTATCTCACTGACTATTAGAAATCAGAATGCATGTTTACATGTAAATCTTTTGTCTTGTGTCATGAGAATATACTTCAGAATTCTGAGCCAACAGATTGAAGTTATGTAGTATAATGCTAATGATAAATATTCATAACATACATTCTTTATATTACCTTAGTGTCCATCCAAGTGTGTAAGATTATCGATGTCTACATAGCATTGTATTTTATATATATATATATATATATATATATATATATTTATATATACATATATCCTGTTCTGGCGTATTTCACATTCCCATACCACTGTAGTTCCAATCGCCACTCATCCAACACAAATCTTACATTGATTCTATAAATGGAGGAAATGAAGGATCTCTGGGGACATAATTGCAGGGTTTATATGTGACTTCCCATTTTCATTAGCCTATAAAACTGTGTTGGGGGGCTCAGTCTATAGACCTCAAGATCCTATTTCTCATAGTTATTAAAGGGCATAAAGTATTACTTACGTAGTAAAGGCATTAAAAGAAGCATATTCCTCAGCTGTAAATCCATAAATATCTTTGCAAGTTAAGTCAGTATTTTGTTGAAGAAGAAGTGTTACAGAACTTGTTGGTTCAGCAATGAGAGCAATCATAATGGCTGTTCTGGAGCAAGACAAATTGAGTTTCCTCAACTTACCATTCAAACATAAGGTCTCTATACTCTTAGGGAGTCAAGAAGGGAAGGGGAAATGTTGTCTGTTGGTCTGTTCAAAAGTGCACAGCAATCGCAGATCAGAGAATGGCACCTAAACACAGACAGTCCCCAGAAAATGAAAATTCACTAGTTTTCAATCTCTGCCCCCTTGGGGGCCTCCTGCTTTCAGAATGCCTTGAAATTCCATGGGAGGGACCATTGGGCACCCAATGTCCCCTCTCCAGTTAAGTACAACATTGGCTCCTATGTAAGATTTCAAAGTTATCTGGAATCCAGTTGCAGAGAGGAAGGAATGATGAGCAAAGGAGTCAAGACCAGGCTGGAGAGACCCACAGAAACAGCTGACCTGAACAAGGGGTTTGCTCATGGACCCCAGACTGATAGCTCGGAAACCAGCATAGGACTGTTCCAGACCCCCTGAAGGAGGAAGTCAGTTTGGAGGTCTGGACAATCTACAGGGCCATTGGTAGTGGATCAGTATTTACCCGGAGTACACAAATGAACTTTGGGAGCCCTCTCCTTATAGAGGGATACTCTCTCAGCCTAGACACACTGGGAGGTTCTAGGTCCTATTCCAAATGATATGACAGACTTTGAAGATTCCCCCATGGAAGGCCTCCCTCTCCCTGGGGGGCAGAAAGGGGTTGGGATAGGGAGGTCAGTGGGGGGAGGGGGAGGGGGAGAGGGCATGGAGAGGGAACTGAGATTGACATGTAGAAGAAGCTTGTTTCTAATTTACATAAAAATAAATTAAAAAAATAGAAATGATTTCAAAGTTATTATAAATGATGGTAATAACTTAAAGCTACCCATATGATTAAGCAGTTTGATTTACACATTGAGAAAAAAAGGCATTTGAGAAGTATAGGCAATTTGTCCCAAATCATACCATACAAGTAAAATATCACACAAAGATATATTAATAAATATGTGTATTTACATGGTCTCATTAAGCAGTTGCCACTATATGGCATCTGACTTAGCTTTACATGTTATACCTATACCTGTGTTTGTTATCTGATGCATTAACATCTGCTCCTTTCTTCAGAAGGAATTTTACCATATTTTCATTGTTTTCAGCAATAGCAAGTAAAAGTGGAGTGTAGCCATCCTGTAAAAATTATTTGAAAATAATTACTTAAACAATTTTTACTTCTGTGCCTTTTAAATTTAAATACAATTTTAAAAGTATGCTCACAAGAAATTCTTGAATATATAATCCAATTTTTGAAGTATTTTATTATCTAACAAAAATCTGACTTTGAATTAAGGATGGGCTTCTACCATTTTAAAAACCAAATTGTATTCTAGGCTTAATTCAAAACATAAGTATAAAGTGATCAAGTCATGAATACCTATAATTTAATATAAGTTTTCTATATCATTAACTCAAATGTACATACAATTATATATAATTGTGTTTCTTTAGTTTTATCTAATAACTTCCAAGACTATCATATACACAAAGTATCAGCAAAATGAAGTGACAAGTTGTTTTTTTAAAAAAATAATTTTTTAGTTATCACTACATTTCAAAAGAAGGATTAGGCTACTTTTAGCACATTAACTAATCTTTAATTCAGCTCTATTACTATTACTGTGTAATAAAAACTTTAAAAGACAATGTCTATTATTTTATATTAATACTAATTTGTGAAGAACTCAAGCATGGCCATTTGGGGAATTCTCACTGATGGATAGGTTTCTTTTCATGTCAGAATGAAGGTCTACAGTGAAATGAAATAACTTTAAAGGAAGAAAACTTTTATCAGATTTTACTAACCTATTCGTCTCTCAATTCAGTTTGGCAAATTCATTCTCTATATTAAAAATATAAATTTCTGTTATGTGAAGTACCTGAAATAAATATGCTGTTCAGTAGTTTGGGTGGTGTATGAAAAAGATGCAGTCTTTTTATTAGAATTGGTAACATACCTACTAGCACTATTGCTTGAATTACCACTCCCACTATCATGTGACCTAGCGTTGAAGGTATAAGGATGGATCTGTGCCTCCGAGCATAACAGATGTCAATGTAGCGGTCATTGCCAGTAGAATACCAGATTCCACGCACTACAAGGTGTGGGAGAACAACACCTGGGCTAGATAGGCATCAAAGGCCATGGAACAAGCCCTGAACCAAAAGACGGCCACCATTTTGGGGTCAATTGCTGTACAGAGTCCTATGTCTGTAGCTGTCGGCACAGCCTGGAAGATGTACTTGGGCTGGTGCAAGCTCTGCTCAGCTGGGATGATGATCGATAAAATGAGATTTCCCAGAAGAGCCGCTGGACACACTACAAAGAATGAAAATCCAATCCAAAACGGAATTCCAATCAAAATTACAGTTCTACGGTTCAGACATGAAACGTCACTGGGTCTCACTGAACTCAACATTCTGCCTTCTCAGCACTGACAATGATACCTGAGGTCTGTGCTGCAGTAGCTGGAAGCAGTAGCTCAGACGTGCTGTAGAAGGCTGGGGCTCTGCTTTCTTGGGTGTTTGAGAAACAGGCGTTCCTCCCTCTCAGTTTACATTCGTCTCTTGGGGTAGTTCTGAGGCATGAATACATATTCTCTTTAATAGAAGCTTACCTTATTTTTAGCTTCAAGGTTGGCTTTGTATCCGAGCAATTTCTTGGCTAGTGAGATATTTTTACCACAAGCAGCATAGTGGAGGGCAGTATTATTATAAAAATCCACCAGATTTGGGTTTGCACCATGCTGTAGAAGAATTGTGGCGCAATTCTCCTGTTGACACTGTACTGCCTATCAATGGAACAACAATAAATGAGTGACCAGTTTCCTATTTCACATATAGAAACTTAGGTTTAATGTTTCAGCTTAAATCAGTAAAATTTAACTACGTTAAGTACTCAAACACATTCCACTTAAAAAGGAAAAAAAAGGAACACACCTTCATCAGTGGGGTCCTGTTTTTACTATCCTGGACATTAATTTTGCAATGATTCTCAATTAGGAGACTCACAATATTTGCATATCCATTAGCACAGGCCAAATGCAAAGGCGTTCTATATTGGTACAATAAAACATGAAGTTAGAGGTATATCTCAGTTAGTTATTTATTACACCCATCAACAAGCAAAACCAAATATTAAGATATTTGTTTTATGTGTTTGTTTACATTTAATGAAAATTTATGCTAATTATAATTGATTTTGATTCATTTAAAAGCCTAAGCAAGCCAGGCGTTGGTGGAGCACACCTTTAATCCCAGCACTCGGGAGGCAGAGGCAGACGACAGTTCTCTGTGAGTTTGAGGCCAGTCTGGACTACAGAGTGATTGCCAGGACAGGCTCCAAAGCTACACAGAGAAACCCTGTCTTGAAAAAAAAAAAAAAAAAAAAAAAAAAAAAAAAAAAAAAAAAGCCTAAGCAAATATCTTGTAAATCAAATGCCACTTTAAGGAAAATTTTGTTTTAACAAATTTAAAGGTTTTTTCCCCCAGTTTATCTTCAGATAAATGATAAAATGTGGTAACCCTAACACAATTAAGTTTGCTCTCCAAAACTTAAGAAACATCTATAAGTAACAGAAATGGCAATGTCAAAGGCATCTCCCCCTTTTCTGTGTATTTCTTTTCCCATCCAGTAGAATTGACATTTCCATCTAAAAACAAATACATGGTTAAGAACCTAATGACTCACTAAATTGTACATTTTATGTTATTATACTAATTTTTACTTCTTAAAAAACTACTGGTTCATGAATTATAGCAGAATACTAATTAGCTCCATTTACAGTTTGAACTCGCTTTGGTGTAGGCAGCCCTCTAATGAATTTTCATGGTTATATGATTATATCATTATTTTCTTGTTTTGCATAATTTTAGGATATTCCATATGCAGATAACCCATATTCCAAACAGGAGATCTCAGATGTCATGTTCCAACCTCCTACCTACCTAAACAGACCCATATTAACCTACAGGAGCAGGGAAAGAAATTACTCTCAAGGGAAGACTTGAAAACAATAACATTCAAAAATGATAAACTAATAAAAACTCTTACATATAGATGTAATTTACCACCTATGGGAGTAATTTTTAAGAAGTATCAAAACAGTTTTGAAGAGTCTGATAATTCCAGTTCAGATTATGTAATGTGGTTTTAAAATGAACAATCATAATGTAATTACAATTCAAAGTCAGAACTCAATTACACTATTCTGCAGATGAAGAAGACCAATCACAGTCAAGAAGAGGAGTGTCAGATTAGACAACAGAATGGATTTGTTTTATTTTGTTTTGTTCTGTTTGTTTGTTTGTTTGTTTGTTTGTGACAGGGTTTCTTTCAATAACAGCCCAGCATAATCTAGAACTTGCTTTGTAGACCAGAATGATCTTGGAACTCACTGGGCTTCTTCCTCGCCTCTGCCTCTCTCTCTGCCTCTCTGCCTCTCCTCTGCCTCTCTGCCTCTGCCTCTGCCTCTGCCTCTCTGCCTCTGTCTCTGCCTCCTGAATGCTAGAATTTCGAGACCTAGTCACAAAAAGACAAACATGATATGTACTCACTCATATGTGGATTTTAGACATAAAGGATTACCAGCCTACAGTCCACACTGCCAGAGAAGCTAGTAAACAAGGAGGACCCTAAGAGAGACATACATTGTCCCCTGGAGAAGGGGAAAGGGACAAGATCTCCTGAGCAAGTTGGGAGCGTGGGAGGAGGGGAGAGGGAACTAGGACAATAAGAAGGGGAGAAGAGGAGGAGTAAGGAGGACATGATGGGTCAGGGAGGTTGAGTTGGGGGAAGAACAAAAGAGAGCAAGATAAGAGATACTATAATAGAGGGAAACATTTTAGGTTTACAGAGAAATCAGGCACTAGGGAAATGTCTGGAGAGATACAAAGATGACACCAACTAACAATCTAAGCAACAGAGGAGAGGCTTCCTTAAATGCCCTCCCCTGATGGTGAGATT